TAAACATGATCTGTCATCATAACTCTCTACCTACTCATTTGAGCATAAGATTTGGTTCAACATCTTTAATTGATTATTTTCTTATATCTCCGTCTATGAACACCATTCAATCAGGACAAGTTCAAATTCCAGGAACTTCACGTCATTCATTTATATATGCAGTTTTTGATGTAAAAATACCGATGGTTAAGGAATTCATTGAATATTTCGATTTTAATGATGTTGATTATTCTCTTTTAGAATTTATTTTTAATTCTTGTGATTTTGATAGAATTTTCTACACCGCTGATGTTAATGAGCAAGCCAATTTATTATTCTTATATTTATGTCAAATGCACAGCGCTGTGCCATTTAAAAAACGTAAAGTTTGTAGATTTAGTGATGACTCGTGGTTTAATTCCCCTGAGATCAAAAATAGTTTGACGATTAGAAATGCTTCTTATCGTTTATACTTGCGGAAAAGATCGAAGGAGAATTGGAATAACTTCTGCCGCTTAAGAAATCGGTCAAAAACCATTATACGTAATGCTAAACGCAAAGCACATGCTACATTATTTCATGATAAGAACTCTGAACAAATTTGGAACACACTTCGAGCAAATGGAATTGGAGATACTGTTACTAACATTGATAAAGTTGATGTTGAAAATTTAAATTCTTTCTTTTCTTCTAATCAAGGTGATAACTCATTTATTAATTTTGATAGAATAGATTTTTCTTATAATAATAGATTTTCTTTTCGAACTGTTAACCTGGATGAATTAGTTAATGCATTACAATCAATTAAATCTAATGCTGTTGGTTGCGATGGATTTTCAGTTAAATTTCTTAAATTAGTCTTTCCCTTTATTGGAACTTACATATTGCATCTTGTTAATAATATAATAACTACTTCTACATTTCCTATGGGTTGGAAAATAGGTAGAGTTGTGCCCATAAGGAAAATCGGAGAATCTAATGATATTTCAAATTTGCGTCCAATTTCAATATTACCTGTAATATCTAAAGTTGTGGAAGTTTTGCTTAAAAATCAGTTATTGGATTATATTGATGAAACATCGTTTTTTAGTGATGCTCAATATGGTTTTAGGCATGGTAGAAATACGACCTCTCTTTTACTGGGATTGACAGATACTATAAGACAGTCTTTAAATAAAGGAAATTTCAATGTCCTTCTTTCAATGGACCTCACTAAGGCATTTGATAAAGTCGATTATTGCATTTTAATTTCAAAATTGCATCAAAATCATCTTGCAAACTTTTACTTTCATATCTTGTTGATCGATTTCAGTATGTCTCAATTGGTGAAAAAGTTTCCAGTATTTTACCGGTTAGAAGTGGTGTACCTCAGGGCTCGGTACTTGGGCCTATCCTATTTAATATTTATATCAATGACATTTTCAGGGAATTTGATAAGAACTCATCTTGTATTCCATTTGCTTACGCGGATGATTTATTTTATCTTTTTTGTGGTGAAAAACAATTTGCTGATGTAATGCAAGTGCAGCTTGCTTATGCTGTTTCCAATATTAACAATTGGATGTGTAGAAATAAATTGATTATAAACACTTCGAAAACGAAGGCTGTAGTTTTTGGTTTACCTAATGCTCAATTTTCTTTAAATCTTAACGGTAATGAAATTATATTTGTTGACCACATCAAATGTCTCGGATTGTGGATAGATAACAAGCTTTGCTTTGATAGACATATACATTTTGTTATATCCAGGGTCAATTATGCTTTACGTAACATTTATAACACCAATTTGATTTTACCTATGAATGTTAAAATAATAATAATTCATTCATTAATTATGCCTATATTTTTATATGGGATTGAGATTTACAGTGGTACCTTAGGGTACAACATTAAAATACTCACCAAATTATTTAATAGAGTTATTCGATACCTTTTCTGTTTACGACGTCGTAATCATGTATATATTTATGTTTGCAGATTTTTAAAATGTTCTTTTCTTAATTATATAAAGTCGCGACTTTTACTTTGTTTTTACAATATTTACAAAAATGGTAACATTTTACGCATTATGTCATTTTTCTCCTTTAGTCGCTCAAGTCGTAATCGTCAAATTCAGATTCCTAGACTAACATCAGTACTGGAGCGTTCTTTCCACGTGCGAGTGGCTAGAATATTCAATAATTTGCCCAGCTCTCTTAGAACATTTCGATTTTCTTATAACACCTTCAAAAATAAAATATTTGTTCATCTTCTAAATAATGATTTATAATTGATTTTTATCACCATCTTGCAATTGAGATTTTCCCCATTTTCTCTTCTATATCTATATCTATATCCTTTTCTTTCTCTTTCTTTATTCTTCCTATCTAATCTTAAGAATATATATATAAGATTTATATTGTATTTATTTTTAAACATTTTGTTATTTACTCTTTGTTAAGTGGTTTTTCATTATATGTAGTAAATTTGTTAACTATATATGGCCCTTTGGGCTCAGTTATAATTGTATAATAACAAATTAAATAAAAAAAAAAAAAAAAAAAAAAAAAAAATTATTTAATAAATAAGTACAAAAAATTTGACCAGTTTTTACTTTAAGGAGATCCTAAAACAATAATCAGTTCGAAATACAGTTTAAATATAATATCATTTACAACAGTATCTAAGTAACTAAATATATATATGTTTTCTTTATAAACATAGATATGTTTTAATTTTAAAATAAACATAGAAACCAATATCAAATTTACAGTTAGGGGCAAATATAAACAATTGTAGAGGATTAAAGTTAGCAAGAAGTGTGGAGCTTTTTATTGAACTAATTGTGTATTCTTTAACTGTTATTATATTTTTTTCTAAGAAATTTATATTTTTAAGAATTAATTGAAATATGAAATATGTATAACTTTATATATAAAATGCTGTTAGTTTTAATATTTCGATTAGCAACAACTTGTTTTGCTTTCAGTGTAACTTCAATTTAGTGACTCAAGCTGTAGTCAAATTAAAGCCGTCAATAAAAATAACAAATGGGCCATTTAGCAAAATAATTTGACAGCCCGTTTTCCTATAAGGTTTTGATTCTTATGCAAACCGAATAGGAAAACATATTTCTTTTAGGTAGAATGATTCTAACCAAATTTTAAAATATTGTAATCAGATGATTACACCATTTTGTTTGCCACTGTATTTCATATTGTAAATTAATGTGTTTTAGGTAAGACCACATAAAATTAAAAAAAAAAAATGTGGTTGTCAGCACTACGAGCAAAAGTTTTTTTTTTTTTAATATTATATGTAAAAGAAATAATTATATGTCTTTGTTTCTATGTATTTATTTCATTCCTTTTAAATTGTATTTTTTTTATTTCCTTCTCGTCGTAGTCTAATGTGGATGTGCAGATATAAATATTGCTTCATTTCTATTATATTATTCGTTAAATAATTTAGTGTGCATTTTTAAATTGCAGTGTTTAATACAATTTGATTTGTTAGTTTCATTAAAGTTCTTCTTTTTCGAAATAAAACGTCATAAACATTTTACTTATTAATGAAACTTTTTTTGTAAGTTCTTAACTTTCATTAATTATTTTAAATCGGTTTGTTAAATATAGTTTCTAAATTGATTAATAAATAATTCAATTCTTTTTCTTTGTTACTAACGTTATTATTAAAATATTTCGGCAATTAACAACAAAACAAAGAAAATTTATACAAAAAGTTAAAACAATAACGATTAGGCAACTTACTATTATTTTTATAAATGGAATGTGTCATAGGCTTGTTTATTGCAATAAATAAATACGAATACATTTTATTTATGTATATTTAATATAGTACGTTCTATTTTCAATAAATAATACATATTAGATTTAATTTTCGATGCACCCCATTGCAATAATCGGGTTTTGTTTATTTACATTTTTGTTTACAAAAGTAAAATAGAATTCTAAAATAATAACAACATTCATTAAAAAATGAGAGAAATAGAATAATTGCAACAGTCTCAGAAAATAAAATGAGCAGCAGTTACAGTAACTCACATAATTTTTCGAAGAATCTATAGTATTTCAGATTGAAATGGCTAAATTTTACAATTGTGATATTTTCGACTCCATAAAGTATATATGTATGTATACATACATATATGGACAATTCTATGAAAAGGTAAACTACGACGGAAAAAATATAACCCTTACAACTTTTGCATTTTTGAATAACACAGAAACATGCAATTTCGGTAATTTCGTGTCAAGTGACCCATCTTTTAAAATCGATGTCTTCCAATTTGGATGAAATTTTTCAAAGTTAATACTATTGGATAGTTGTCAAGAACTGCCGGACTTATAGGGGGTCAAAGTTGAACATTTTGGTCATACAGGGTTAATTCGAATGACTGTAACTTTTACCCATTGGTCCTAGCAAAAATTGTCCAGAGGAGTTCAGATAGCTATTTCTCCATTATTTCCATTTTTTTTTTATTTTTTTACATTTTTTTTAATTTCTTTTTTATTTTTTTTAAATGGGCTTTCAACTATTATGATTATTTGTGATTATTTGCGTGATTTTAGCCCCACAATGATTATAAGAAAATTAAGTATATATTGTAATTTAATTTTATAATTTTTTCGTAAATTTATCATGGAGAATTTTTTATTAAATTTTATAATTTTTTTGAGTCGTTTTTAAATAGCGCCCTATTGTTTTATATTCTATAAAGTTAAACTTAAGAAAATTTCCGGCAAATGATATGATTCATTGTTCTATTAAAAAATCTTAAATGGTGATTTCTTTTTTTGCTTATAATATTGAAATGTTTTCTAAATAAAAAAAGACAAAATTAATTACGTCACGCTCTAATTAAAATAAAACTTAAATTAACTATAAAAATAAATAAAACTTACATTTACTATAGTGTGTTTTGATGAAAATTCAATTCAAAATCTAAGCATGCATTTTATAACTTAAATAATTAAATTGTTTTTTTTTTTTAATACCCATTATCTCTGTTTTTGTTGCAGATTTTCTAAAATGTCAAAATACACAGGTAAAAAATGTCGCCTGTTGTCTATGATGATGTTGACCGGTTTCTTCTTTTTTGTCGAAATCGTGGTCGGATATGTTACAAATTCAATGGCTTTAGTAGCTGACAGTTTTCACATGTTGGGCGATATAGCCGCTTTGGTGATATCGTTTTTATCAGTTAAGGTATGTATGACAACTTAATTAATCTTTTTTAGTATTTGATAATTGTATTATTTTTAAATTTATTTTCTTAGATGTCCCCAAAAAAATGGTCAAAAAATACATTTGGTTGGGCACGTGCAGAAGTATTGGGAGCTTTAGTTAACGCAGTATTTTTGGTTGCATTATGCTTTAGTATTACGATAGAAGCGGTTAAAAGGTAATGATTTTTCATGAATATCACAATTTTTGCGAATTATAAAGAAAACAGCAAGAGTGGACTTTTCTAGACATTCTCATGAAAAACATTTTAAAGAGAATGTGTTTTTTATTAATTTTACTGCAAAAGAAGCTCTCTTTGTAATATAGAAATATAACAAAGAGAAACAACAAGTTTTTTTTATTGTTTTCAATATAAATATGTAAAAGAAAGAAATTTTATTTTCCAATTATAAAAATGGAAGAATGTATTTATTATAATTTTTTTTTAATTTTGTTTTTCCAGATTTATAGAAGAAGAAACTATACATGAACCAGAATTGTTGGTTACTGTAGGTGTATTAGGTTTAGTTGTAAACGGCATTGGCTTGTGTTTACTTTATGGTGAGTGGCATAGAAAAATATAAACTATTCCTATGTTATTGTAATATTAATAAACTATTTATATATTAACTTGATCGTTTAGAGCATGGTGGTCATCATGGTCATTCACATGGTGGAGGCTTAAGACGAAATCATAGCAGACTTACCGAATTAGCTAATGTAGATGAAGGTGAAAATGGTGATGATTTCGTTTTTGAGAAAGAGGTAAAATGAAAAACTTCTTAATATATCAATTAAAATTTATATTAAAATATGTATTTTGCTCAGAAGGAAAAACCAATTAAAAAATCCAGTCATGGTCACAGTCACGATCCCGGTTCCATGAATATGCGTGGTGCATTTTTACATGTATTAAGTGATGCTTTGGGTAGTATTATTGTCGTTATAAGTGCTTTGGTAAGTTTTCAAAATATCATCCTATACATATATAGTAAATTTTTAATATATATTTTTTTATTTTAATGCATTTTAGGTTGTTTGGTTGACCGAATGGAAATATCGTTATTATATGGATCCTGCTTTGTCCATTGTATTAGTTTGTTTAATATTACATTCAGTTTGGCCTTTGTTGCGTGAATCTGCATTAATTTTATTACAAACTGTGCCAACACATATACAAGTAAGTTTTTTCTACTTGAATCTTTTTGTTGCATTTTACAAGTCGTTTTTTATTTATTTATTGAAATATACTTTATAAATAAATTTATAAACTATACTAAAGAAAGGCGCAGGGTAATAATAATAATAAAAAATATGAAAAATTTAAAGAAGTCGTTTTTTATATTGAAAAATAAAAAACAATTTAGAAAAACCCAGATGAAATGAAAGAAAATTTGAAAATACAAATAATTCAACTTAAATATTTAGGCATCGGTTTAATGTATTCTTATATTTATGTTATTGTTTTTTTAAGGTTGATGCTATACAAAAACGTTTGTTGGAAAAAGTTGATGGTGTTTTGGCAGTCCATGAGTTTCATGTCTGGCAATTGGCTGGCGATCGGATTATAGCTTCAGCTCACATAAGGTAATATTTTATGTTGAAAACAAAATATGCATGTCCACACAAACATACGTTTTCTTTTGTAAATAACAATAGATTTCAAACTAATTAAGAATGAAATTGATATTACAATAGTTTTAATACACGCAACTTGTCAAGGGCAAGCAATGTTGTCGATTTTATAAGCGAGTGTCAATTTACGTGAAATTTTTTACGCTTTAAATTATTTAGCAAACATTCCTATTCTAATCAACATGTTGCTTTGTTTATTCAATTTTAATTTTATTTGTAGTGTGTCGGCAACAATCCGTTATGGTTCAAAATTAAAATACACAAATGAAATAAAACACAAAGAATTATTAGTTTAATAAAAAGGAGATGAATTGTCTTCCTTTATTTAATATTTTACCTTATGATGGAATGCACACAAGAATTGCTCTCAAAATGACGAGTCATATTAACTAGTTATTTCTAAGTATATGGAGGCAAACATAGTTTAAATAGAGTTTTCCATCAAAGATGTAAAATAAAAGTAGTAAATCATTAGGATTTAAACTTAGAGGAAAAATACCGCAAATCGATTTGTTCTTAAACACATAGTAATATAAAAAGCCACTGTTGTCCAATTTTGTAATAAACTTTTAAAAATATCAACATGCACTACGTAACTTTTCTCTACGTACATATGTGGATTAGTGAATCCTTCCATGCATATACAAATTATTATTTCCATATACATAACATACGTACGAATATTTAAAAATTTTGTTACTTTTTGCAGATGTCACAATTTATCAGAGTATATGAAAATCGCCGAAAAAGTTAAAGAATTCTTTCACAATGAAGGCATACATTCAACAACCATACAACCAGAATTTGATATGGATGGGGCGTGTATAGTATCAGAGGGTACATCCAGTCTCAATATGAGCAGCTCAGACTGTTGTGCATTAGACTGTCCACCCTCAACCGATAATGGGTGTGTCAAAGCCACATGTTGTCAAAACAATAACAAGGTAGTAAGTTTGAATTTTAATGTTGTTTGTACATTATTTAATAAATGTTTAATTTACTAACAGAATCAACTGCCCTCACCTACTAGTTCACCGTATATGTGTCGTCAACGCAATTCGACTAGAAATGCTAATGATGTTGAAACCGGTTCATTATTAGATCCTGTAACGGGTACTGGTGGTGGTTCGCTGGGTAGCACTGTCGGCAGTGGTGGATCAACGGTCAAAGAGAGTAACGGAGAAGTAGTCTGACAACATTCGTTCCATGCAACACGTAGTAATATACCAGTAGTGGCTCAGGAAACCAACAATTTACATACAACATCTTTAAATACAAAAAATACACAACATCAACAAATACAAGAAACGATGAGAACTAATAATCATCACAATCATAATTCAAACTATAAAATTAATCAACAACAGCAACAACTACCAACGACAACAGCCACAACAACAGCATTATCATCGTCATCATCATCAGCATTATTATTGTCGCCATCGTCTACTCTAGAAGTTAACAATAAAGATGTTTTTAAAACTAAAACTAAAACCAATGATCAAAGTGGTGAGGATCTTAAAAACCAAAAAGGAAAACAAGCACACAAATCACAAAGGAATAAAGACACAGACAAAGACAAAGAAAATGAAATAATCATTGATGATTACTTTACGCTGCCTCCTAAAGTCTTGTTGTCACCGACAACAACGCGTGATATTTACGAAAATAGATTAAAACCAGCGTCTTCAGCTAATAACCACCAGCAATCAGTGTCATCGCCAAAGCTAACGTCAACGTCATTCTCACCACCTGTTGCAACAACCACCGTAACAGCTCAAAGGCGTCGTGATTTAAAGCTCAAAGCCGAGCAACAATATCACGAAGAAATTGAGCTTAACACAGCCTCTCTGAGACAAGGAGATGAAGTGGCTCTGTAATCGAATTCCTTAGTCCTCCCTTAGTTTTGTTGTACAATAACCACAATATATGTATGTATGTATATAGAATATGATACATACGTATATGTAATGTGTTTTGTTTCTGTTGAGACATTAATCATGTTTGTCATTTACATAAATCGTCGTAGTACATATATCTTGTCATCTTTCCATGTAGAAATTCATTTCCACAAATTGACCAATAAAATTATAAAACTATAATTTTATTTATTTTTTTATTACCAAAACAAAAATATAAAGTTTATGTAAAATTAAATATTAAATTTTGTGTAGTATAAATTTTATTAAAATTAATTAAATAACAACAACAAAAATAACTAAATTGTTATGTTAACTCTAGTTATTATAGTTAAAATCAAAAACCCACAAAAAATAAAAAGAAAAAAACAAAAAATAACGTTACTATAAACCAAAATTGTTTTTATATTTAAAATAAGTATAATTATTACATAAAAACAACAACAGAAAGTTTTGTTTTTATTATTCTCTAGTTTAAATTATTTTTCTTTTAATTTGTTTATTAATTTGATAAAGTGATCAAGTGAGTTTTTCACACTATTTTCGTTTACAAAATGCTGTGTGTTTAAAATTATTTTTTTATATAAGTATCAATAATATATTTGTAATATAATATACATATATGTATATGTTCTTCTTTGTTTTTTTTTTTTAAATATGAATTTCATATATAACTCCTTTTTCAACTCTTCCTATGTTAAAGTATTTCTGTTTTTTCTCCCTATATATTTTTTTTAAATATACATCTCCATGTATTTCTGTATATGAACTCCATTTTTTTAACATAAATACGCTTTTTTGCAGAAAAAAACAAATAAATAAATGATTGATAAAATAAATAAAAATGAGAAAAACTGAAAGAGATTTTATATGTTCTTAAAAAGAATTGAAATTTAAAAAGTGGTATGTACTATTATTATATTGTATATATGGAATCAAATCTCTTGTAATAGTATTTCATCGATCGAAAGTATAATTAATTTCAAATTTTGAAAGCTAAATGACGCAGCAATGTGCAAATTTGTTTTGAGTAAAAGTGGATACTGCAGAATGTGCTTCTAAATGTGAAAAATAATTAAAAATTTTGTTAGTATATTTCTGGTTCGCAAAATTACTTTTATTGTATTATAAGGAGCATATAAATTTCAAATGATTCGGAAATGGACTAACCCAAATTCCAAACTATTTATTAAATATTTTTCTGTATGAGCTATAAATTACAACTAAAAATCATTTTCTGGACAAAAAATATTCTACAAAAATCTTAAAACTATTTTTCCCGTAATCAGCTCAAAATTACGGAATTTTTGAGACCAATTTCGAAAAAATCAAAAATATTTTATTTTTCAAAAATTATACTAATGTCACGATTTTTTAATCACAGGTAGGGAGCTGGGGACCATTCCAAAAAAATATTTTTTATTTTTCTGGAGAACATTACAGTACATACGCATCGATTGAGTGGTATACCTATGTACATGTAAAAAAACTGTTCCTCGGAACACTAATTTTGTTTAAGTAACCCTCGTAGCGTATGAGCAATACTACTTTTAATTATTATATTTCATACGTTACAATAAACATGAGGTGCAGAAATAGTAATACATACATAGTCTTCTTTTAAAAATATGTATACATTTGGTATATTTTCTGTACTTTTAAATATATGCTTATCTTTGTTTGGACATGTGGATTTTCAACTTGAAGTTCATATTCCCATCATTTTAAAATAATCACCCCTATTCTGCATTTCGATTACGTTTACGCATTCAGTTACTCAACGATCGAAATAAGGTATTCCAACAAAAAACTGAATCGTAAGAAAAAGAAGAAGAATGATACATACATAATATATTTACATAGGTACAGCCTTTTATAGATTTTTATTAACTCATAACATTATAAAATAAAAAAATTTGTAAAGGATTTAATAAATGCTATAATTTGATATCAATATTATCATCGGTGGTCTCTTCAACGATTGCCTCATCCCAGGGCCCATGGATATTATGTTTATGTCTTTGTTGTATAACAAAAATGCATGGACACAGGATATTAATGAATAACGTCACGGAAACATAAATCCATAAAACATTGACCGATATAAAATACAGGCAATAACTGCAAGCCACAAAAATGGGCAGCAACATATAATAACGCCAATATTCCTTCGTTACTATAGGATATAGAGCGAAAAATATTGCTGCCTCGACCAATAAAACGAAGGCATGATATGATGTTGATAAACGGGACGCTAAGCATATCGATCCAAATATAGCCGCATTCAAAGATATTGTCTTCGAAACCATTGCCACTGAGAGTCCATAATCACAAAATATCAAATTCAAAAACATCACGATAAATGTCATGGAAAAAATAGTATCTGTTGACACTGCGTCTGTGAGTGTGTGTAATATGGGAGCAAATAGATAACCAAACAGTAGTACCGCCAACAATGTTTTAGAATCCTCTACAACGATTGTAAGGTTTAAATGTTTTCGGCGAAAATAAATGTAACCGACAATGGTCATAAGGAAACTTGGCCATAGTATTTCCGTGGGAGATGCTCTTTCGCTATACATTGCATAGAATATGATAAGGAATGCAGTAATGCACGATATCTGATTATTGAGGACTGTAACTCCTTGGATGACTTCATTAAGTGTGTAAAACTGTACATGCAAATTGGTCTTTAAATCTTTTAAAAATGTTGGATCCGTATAATTATCAGGATAATCCTCATTTTCGTATAAATTTTTACGCCAAACTTTACGTTTTGTATTCATTTATGTACAAAGAAATTTGTAATTAAAAATCTATTTTACTAAAAACTATTTTTTGTTTACATAAAATTATGCTACAACAACAAGAGTGAAATAACAACACCATACAGCTGTTTGTTGATGTTAATAATTCTCAGTGATTTTAAATTGTTGGAATAAGAAGAATAATTTAATAGTCTGGTAACTTTCGATAAGAACAGTTATTTTTATGTGACGCTTGTTTTTTTTTTAACAAATTTTCAACAAATTTAAAAGTTGTCATATTTGTCTATTAAAAATTTAAAATATAGAATTAAAATTTTCTGGGAAGATATATAATACGTAAAAGAGATGGTCGTAAAATTTTGCCAACTATCAGTTTTGTTTTCCAATATTTGTGGGTAAGCTGTTTTTATTTCACGAACAAAAAACGTCAGCAAGATTATCTTATATTTAATTAAATGAAATACTTTTTTTGGGGTGCTGGATTTTATATTAAGATCAATCTAGTTGATCATAGACTACTCTAGTCGATGTTTAATAATTTTCTTTAAAAACTTAAAGACTACTGGGCAATAATATGTACAATTTTTTCCGGAATAATTGCTGTTGCAATTAAATGTGCTCCATATACACTGGAGAGCAAAAATTTGTGTATGTTTGCAATTTGTGCTTCTCCTATTGAATAAAAATAAAACTAAAAACAAAAATCCAAATCTTTTGATTAATTTAATACGCAATATATAAACAAATGAACAATTTAAACCAAAAATCATCAATTTCTAAGTGAAAAACTAAACCGACATGCATGTACTAACTTTTACATGCCCCGAAATCTTTAGGGAATTACTTTTTACTACGTTTTATGATACTATCTACAAATTTTTCTTTTACTTTCTTTGGAATACACAGCTGCCAAAGCTCTTCCAAAGTCAGCACAAATTTTCAGTCTGATTAAAAAATGTTCAAAGACAAACAATATTTTTTGCAATTTTATATATTTAATACACTGAAAATAATCCATGCTCAACTTTACGAAAAAAAATTTCGTAACTTCTTTTTTCGTAATATTTACAAAAATTTCGTTTATAATACGAAATATTATTTAAAAAGACCCTTTTCTATTTTTACGAAAGTACGAAAACCTTTCGTAATATTTTTTTCTTAAATTTTAGCGAAATTAAACATAATGATATTAATTATATTATCGTTAAATAAAACTACAACATTTTTATAAAAATTAAGAAAAAGTACAATATAATTCACGAACTATTTTCATAAAAAAATTAAAAATTCGTGTGGAGAATAATTTTTAACTAAAATTAGAAAAATTATTTTAAAATGAACAAAAATGCATAAATTAATATTTCGTAAATTTTACCATATTTATTCAAAATTCAATTTTTTAAATTTATTTAAATTAATTTTTCCAAGATTATTTTGCATTATACTAAAATATTTCGTACAATTTCGTATATATTACGAAAGAATTTCGTGGTGCGAAACAACGAACGATTCGTACAATGTACGACATTTTTCGTATATATTAGGCATGGATTTTTTTCAGTGTAGCATTTTTAAATTTCTCTTAAAAATGGAAAATTTTGTGAATACAAATCCCACAAAATAAATAAAACCAAATCAAACCAATAAATGGTTTGTTGTAGAATTAGGACCATGATTGGGACTACCAGCCATGATATTTCTATGAAAAAGTATCTGTTGGTTGCATGAACATTTTAGTAGAAAAAAAATTATCTTATAAATTTGTAAATAATTTTTCTGATAATGCATACGATATCAACGTATAAAAAGAAACTAGCGAAACAAACAGGGTGGGATTCGGTATAGCCAAATATAATACCATTAGGTCTGAGTCTAAAAATCAATTTTTGAAGAAGAAAAAGCGTGATCGCAAAATTGATTAATTAAATTTTCGATTACGAAAGAAAATATGTTTTAGATAAAACTTTTATCACAAAGTAGTAACAATAGTAAATATATTCAGTGCTTATTTAACCGAATAATTTTAAATTAAATAAAAAACCCATATTTTTAATAAACGCACAATAACATAGTTCTGTTTTTGGTATTTTTTTAATAATTTATTAGAATATAGTAAATTTGTTTAACAATATATTAAAACGTCTACACATACACTTTTTGCTTTATATTTTCTTTGACAAGTTAGTTTGAAGAGTAATTCACAATACTTAATACTAAAAAGGCAAAGTCGGATTGTTAAATTGTTACTTTGTTTTGTTATGCACATAGATACATATATTTTATATGATAAAATATTAATCTCTTGTTTGACATACTTTTTCATTTTTCAAAACACATTTCTTCTCTGTTTGTTTTGGAAAGAATGTTAGGTTGGTAAGCCAGTTAGTAGGTTTAGTAGTACAACATTGTAAAAGTTCTATGCAATAACTTTTGGTAAAAATTATGAAAATCTAACGAAATATATTTTGTTTTAGCTTTTCTGTAGTTAGGGAGCATGCATTTTCTGTGCTTGGCACTTGCACGTTTATTACTGGTATTTAAGAATTATATTGATTATACCCAACCACCGGTAAGTTTGTGGAACATTTCTTCATTAAGGGTTTGATTGTTTTCTTTGGAACGCATAGACATAAAAATGTAGCCACCAATAAATTCGTGAACAACTTTACAGTCGGCAGACTGAACAGAGAAAACGACGTTTTCATCATGAAATTGAATCATCATGCATTTGATACCCCAATTAACATTCCATGCTTTCATTGTATTGTAGCGCCAAGTTTTTATGTGATCGCCAGATCCAAGGTCCATTCTCATAATACGATTGTAAGCAACGCCTAACAACTCTTCTTTTTTATGTCCATCAAATTTAATAACGAACAAGGAGACCCCAAAGTTTGGCAACGATTGCCATGCTTGAATATACTTTAACTTGGCATCCATGAGTGATAGTTTGCGGACATTGGCATGCGCTTCCAGTATACGTTGGGCAGCCTTACTAGACAATTTTCGCAGCATTCTTGGTGGCAAATAGTCGACCGTTTCAATAGATCGGGGATCAACATTGACAGCAACACCATGAGCAGGTTTTTGCAAATTTAACAAAGTTTGTATATTAGAAACTTCACTTTCGTAAGAACTGTCAGCCAAGGAGCGTCCTTTTGATGCGAGGCGACAGGCAGCCATCCATTTTGCATACTGTTCTTCATTCTCGCAACGTATCCAAACTTCACTGTTAGGTCCATTACTGCCTTCTGGCGGAACTTCCAGACGTATTGCAAACTTTCCCTGCGAAAGTACAATGTCAGGTGTAACTTCACAGCCCCGCAAATTAATGGTTATAACTGGAGCTGCACGTCGTGATTCTTCAGCACTTTTATACAAATGTAGATGAAGGTCACGGTAGGTGAAGAAGTATCTTTTGTATCCTTTCATTGTGAATTTTCGCGGTTTTAGAAAACGCAAATAATCAGATAATTCGGGTATCTTTGTTATATTGCCATCCGCATTGGCATTAGGTCCTTCTAATGATATTTGCAACTCATTTAGGGCAGAATCAATGTCATCATCAGTGCCATTTGCGGTACTCATAGAACCAATTCCTGAATCAATACCTTGATATGTTTCATTCTGTTGATTAATCTGAAATTGCAAAGCTGCAAACATTAGACTTTCTTCTTCGGTACAATCTAATTCCTCATTCAGAATGGCCCACTTGGCCTGCTCATACAACTGATTAATGCGAACTTGATCGTATTTGGGGTTCAAATCAAAAAAAGTGTAGTATTTGAAGCGAAGACTTAAGGTGTCGTATTCCCGTATGCCTTGTTCCATTATAGACAGAGAAGAATCGAGCCAGCCAACATTCATTCGAGCCTTTTCAATCAACGATTTTGGTCGAACCAGTCGTGACCGGACATCGGGACTGGGTGAACGGGGAGAGGCAGCTAAATTCTCTTGAAAATCTCCCAAACTAGATCCAGAATCATATGTCATGTATCCATTGCTGCTGTGCTTCCAAGTACCTGTTGGTGAACTTATCGGTGTACCAGGAGCAGTGCCAGCCCTTCTTGGGGTAGTGCCATAGGGTGATACTGGTGCACACAGAAAGTTGCCGTTTTGTGTTCTATCCAAACTTCCATTACTGCCATGATAGGCAGAGTTGATTGGTATAAATGAATTGGTATCGGGAGCTGGCTGCAAATAAACCGTTCCATTAGGTTCGGCTATTGGTATTTTCTTTTGAGGAAACTTCCCAAAGTTTTTCTTTAAGTGATCCGCTTCAAGAGGTTTGCACAACGACAACTCTTCGGGATGACGAATATCTAAATCTTTGCACAAGTTTACAACGGCGGCAAATGTTTTAATAGAAAAATCAACGCGACAGTCAAGGTAACGCAAGTCTGGCAATTGAACACGTAGAATTTTATGCATTGGTGTGAAATGTAGTAAACAATCCGCCTGAACGCCCACCTGATCCAATGTAGAACGGGTGCGTGTTAACCACATATTTTTCTCTGGCCACCACAAAGCATGATCGGACCAATCTTTTGGATTTTCAGGGTCAACCAATTGTAGCATAATGCCGCCTATGTGTTGATCACCTTTTACTCTTAAATGTTTCTCCACCTGCAGATCTGTTATAAAAATCCGCAGATTCCAAGTGTTGTCTCCAACATGAATCATGGCTGCTAAATATTATTCTTATTTTATCAGAACCTGGAACCTACAGTATCCGTCCTTGTATGCGATAACTGAAATGAAAATCACAGATGTTTCTCTAGAAATTCATGAATTTGATGACGTAATATTTTTACTTACAAACACTATATACGGTGAATAATTACACAGAGAACGTTTTCGCAATTCAAGCAACTACCGCTCTTATCATTTCCCAGACTGAGAAGTTTACTCAACAATTGGTTTGTGATTGTTGTTGACACGGTTGCAATATGTAGTAGATGTTGCTAGCTTCACTGGAACTAAGCAAACAATTTTATACAATATACAACAACGATACCAATGGGTTGGGGTTTGTTTATTTGATGAATATTATAGAGCTATTAGCTCGAGTTGCTCTGTCTGCTCCCTTTCGTTCAAACGTTCGAAAGCGCAACCAAGGTTATATCGTTTTCATGAACGTAGTACGTACACGCTTGGAGAGCCAAATGCGCAAAATTCCAGCAACGGTCAGCGCCAACAACCAGCCACACACTTGAAAAACAAATTCTAACACAACTAATTAGTATATTGCTGTATTTTATATGAGAAATGGCAGCAACGACGACGTCGACGATGACGTGCTCGATCGCGCTAGTAGAAACTAATAAACAGCTAAAATATAACAACTACTACGCAAAAGCAATTAATCCATAATTCGACACGATCTAAATATCGCCCTTTAATTTATTTATTATTTTGTATTTCTGTATTTATTTATGTATACTCTTATACGGTCGTCAACACCACCACTACAACTGATTGACTGACAGACTAACTGCTTGCCACCAGACTGATATTGATTGATGAATGGTGGATCGTTGTTCGCACAAGTCAATTGGTGGTGTTTTGCTGTATTTCATTCGATTTGAATTCAAATTAATTAAAATTACACGATGATGACGCAGTAGAGGAAAATGATGTGTGCTTAGCTCAACGTTTCTCCCTCACTTTTGTTTGTTTCCACGATACACAAACAATGATGGTATTAAATTGCTATTTTTAGAAGAAGAGAAACCTGCACAAAACAAACGAACGAATAAACCATCAAATGATGTTTACAATTTATTATAGCAGCAGCAAAACGGAAAAATATTTAATGTTTTTACTTTATCAACTCGAGTTCTCCACACTACCCGTTCACTTTCAAAATTACAACCACTCTCGTTCGAATTCGATCAACAACTAAAGAAAAGCTGAGAGAAATATAATTATTGATCTCTATATTTTTAATTAAAACGAAGAGAACTAGTGGTGGAAATCTGCATGAATATGTATGTATATAGTTAATACAAATATGTTAATTATTTAAATTTTCGGTCATTTAATGGATTATATAGGATTTTCATATTACAAAAATTTAATAATTACCACCAAAAAATTTTATTACCAAGTAACTACTTATGAATTGCAAAAAAAAAAAAAAAATAAATATATTTTTTCGAGTGTAGTTTGAATCTAATTTTAAATAGGAAACTTCAAGAAATCATGTCTTTCTGAATTATTGAAAATTTGGATTCCGAAGACATCTGGGGCCTTCAGAAAATTGATATCAACAGACAGACGGACATAGCTTAATCAATTCCGCTATTCATAAGGATCCAAATCAATATAAAATTATTTTTATTCTCTCGGACCGTTTTTATTTGAAATCGGTGAAAATTTGAAAACAGCTGAAAACATAGCCGGCTTACAGTCGATTTTAAGTCGCCGCCGTTAATATTTGTCGGCGCAGGGCTCTGTCTGTTATAAAAATTACATACTTTGCAAACACTGGACATTGTTTTTCTGCTGCTGCACACAACAATCTTTTTTCATACACAAATAGAAATTGGAGAAAATTTTTAGAATTTCTTTTCCAACATTAGGGACAACGACGAAAAACTCTTACTTTCGAATAAAAATTCGCGGAGGTGTGCAAAAACATAAAAATAATAAATAAACTTAAAAAAAAAACAAACTCAAAAACATAAAAAAACTTACGTCATCAAAGAGCTTCGATGAGACAAGAATTGTGTTTTTTTTCGAGACTAAGACCAGTAAAAGTAACAAAGAAATTTTAATTTGATTTAAATTTATTTGCATATATGTATACATCTGTACTTACTGAAGTGATTCTATTATGTGTTTCTTCTTTATATTCTTGTAATCCCAATAGATTGTTTGATTTCTACAATTATTTGCATCGACCAATTAAGTTGGCATAAAATCAAAAGCATCAAAGATGATTCACGTCGGTGAGAACACTTGGATTTTGCGAATCTTTATAACTGATCTCCAAGTTGAGAAACAGTTGAGGGTGAAGGGTGATCAGCATATTGGTGGAATAATGCTACAGCTGGTCGATCCGGAAAATCCCAAAGATTGGTCAGATCATGCCCTTTGGTGGCCAGAGCGTAACATTTGGTTGACAAGAACTCGTTCTACTCTTGATCAAGTGGGCGTGCAAGCTGATTGTTTACTACATTTCACACCCATGCACAAAGTGTTAAGAGTACAATTGCCAGATTTGCGTTTTATAGATTGCAGAGTAGATTATTCAATAAAAACTTTTGCTGCGGTGGTTAATTTATGTAAAGATTTGGACATTAGACATCCTGAAGAGTTGTCGTTGTGCAAACCGCTGGAGCAGGAACATTTGAAGAAGAACTATGGGAAATATCCCCAGAAAAAAGCTGCTATTCCGGAAGCAAATGGTATGGTTTATTTACAACCTGCTCCAGATACAAATTCTTTTATACCAATTAATTCTGCTCACAAAGTAGGCAGTAATGGTAGCTTAGATAGAACACATAATTCCAATTTATTGTGTGCGCCAGTTTCTCCTTATAACACAACTCCCAGAAAACCAGGCACTGCTCCCGGAACTCCGATAGCATCACCTACAGGTACTTGGAAGAACAGCAGCAATGGCTACGCAACCTATGATTCTTCATCAAGTTTAGGCGATTATCAAGAGAATTTGGCCGCTTCGCCAAGGTCACCTAGTCCCGATGTTAGATCCCGTTTGGTACGTCCAAAGTCACTAATTGAAAAGGCCCGCATGAATGTGGGCTGGCTGGATTCTTCTCTATCAATCATGGAACAAGGTATAAGAGAATACGACACCTTATGTTTGCGTTTTAAATATTACACATTCTTCGACTTGAATCCCAAATACGATCTTGTGCGTATTAATCAATTATACGAGCAGTCTAAATGGTCCATCTTAAATGAAGAAATAGAGTGCACTGAAGAGGAGAGTCTAATGTTTGCTGCTCTTCAATTTCAAATTAATCAACTCAATGAGTTCCAGCCTTACCAAAATTCGAGCTTGGACTCTACATTTAACGACAACGGTACTGACGATGATATAGATTCAGCATTGAACGAATTGCAAATTACCTTGGAGGGACCCCATTCGAATGGTGATGGTAATATCACAAAGATTCCAGAACTTTCGGATTATTTGAAATTTTTAAAACCACGTAAATTTACCATGAAAGGTTACAAACGATATTTCTTCGCCTACAGGGATCTGCATTTGCATCTGTATAAGTCCGCCGAAGATTCCCACAGAGGAGCGCCGGTTATAACGATCAATTTAAGAGGTTGTGAAGTGACACCGGATGTCAATTTATCACAACAGAAGTTTGCCATACGTTTGGAGGTGCCTCCAGAAGGTAAAAGCGGTCCAAATACAGAAGTATGGATCAAATGTGAAACCGAAGATCAATATGCAAAATGGATGGCAGCATGCCGGCTAGCTGCCAAAGGACGTTCCCTCGCTGATAGTTCGTACGACAGTGAAGTTTCCAACATAAAAACCCTATTGAATTTGCAGAAACCAGCTCAAGGAGTAGCAGTAAATGTTGATCCTCGTTCAATCGAAGTCCTCGATTATCTTTCTCCAAAAATGCTAAGAAAATTATCGAGTAAAGCGGCCATCAAAATATTGGAAGCTCATGCCAACGTCAGTAAGCTATCCCTAATGGATGCTAAATTGAAGTATATTCAAGCTTGGCAGTCGCTGCCCGACTTTGGTGTATCTTTGTTTGTCATCAAGTTCGATGGTCACAAAAAGGAAGAACTATTAGGTGTAGCCCATAATCGTATTATGCGTATGGATCTAAATACAGGAGATCACATAAAAACTTGGAGATACAATACCATGAAGGCTTGGAATGTCAATTGGGGCATCAAATGCATGATGATTCAATTTAATGATGAAAATGTTGTCTTCTCTTGTCTGTCGGCCGACTGCAAAGTTGTGCATGAATTTATTGGCGGTTACATTTTTATGTCGATGCGTTCTAAAGAAAACAACCAGACATTAAATGAGGAAATGTTCCACAAACTTACTGGCGGATGGGCTTAAAATACTAATTTTAATCGTTCAATCTAATTAAATCTTTTGACGCACATTAATACTAAACCTGGTGTTCTTCTGTCTTATAATTACTTTTTTACACAAATTTAAAGGACTAATTTACATACAAATATTTATTTATAATTGCCAAAGTGCCTAAAATATTTTATATATCTACTCTTTTCTAATCTAATCGATCGAGAGGCCTCTGTATTGGTCGCATTTTTATAACTTATGTACATTTAATTTATATGCATTAACAAATGATATCCATTTATCTTGTCTTCGAGAAATGCGTGTATTTTTAATCTAATAATTAAACCTAATATGTCTTAAATATCTTTTACATACATAAATTATTAACAAAAATAACATAGTTTTTTATGTTTCTCATTTTGTATGTTGAAAATTTCGATTTATTTTAATTAATTTTTTGTTGTAATTTTATATAAATTAATCCAATATGTATTACAATAATAAAATTATATTAATACATAAAAATAAAAGTTTTTTTAATTATTATTTTTTTTTTTTTTTTTTTCTAAAGATTAAAATTTGTTAGTCATAGCTTGAACCATATCCCAACAGAAATTATTGTGTTGTATTTAAAATAGTATGCTGTTTACTCAATAGAATTCGACGTAAAGTGCTGATACACAATCAATCCAAAGATAAATTGGAATATGTTTCCTAAATACAATCTTCAAACCATATTTGGAACATATTTAAGGAGTATAGTGTTTAAAAATTTACTTCATTAACATTCAAAAATAATGTACAAATGAACGATATGAGAATCGTACAGGTCTTTGTCTGATAAACTTTTCTTCAAAACATCAGTGAAAATATAATACATCCATACACAAAAAGATAATCACGACAATTACCCGATAGAATTGCATATGTAATGTATATTTTATTGTTCCTATTCGAAACGAAAAATTCCATATAAAGAAAATTCGATTTATTAAAAAAATAGTTTTTCTTTTTAATATTATTTTAATTGTTTCATTCTTTATATTTATTATCATTACATACATTCGTTTATATAATTGAAATTCACATATATTTGTTAAATCAACCAATATTTTCTTGTTCCTTTGTTTTTGCAAATTTACTAGTAAAGTTCTAAAGAAAAGTATCTAATATAAAGTAAATAAAACAATAAACAGAAAATAAACGAAAAATAATAAAACAGCGAATTATATAGACAAAAATAAAAATCCATATAATAAATACATATATATCAATGGTAATTTAAATTTTAATCAATACAAAAAGAAATAAATCATTCTTCAATTCATAAGCAAATTCCAAGCATCATCTTCGGCTGTTTTATTGGCTGCTGGTTTAATTTTAGCACTTTTCACGTCTAAACTATCAAAACCTTCACTTAGTTTTTGTGTAGTAGAAGCCAATTTCAAATTTTTATTAGTTGTTGCAGCTGCATTTGTTGTCGAAGTTAATGGTGTTGAATTTTGATACGAAGTTGTGGAGTCTTGGTAACTATCAAAACCAGACCAATCGTCATCATCGTTATTCAGAGATGATGATGTTGCAGCAGCATTGCGGCTACCAGCACCGCTGTTAGAATTGCTGCTAAATTGATTGTGGTACGACTTAGATGTGGGCATTTGTTTTTGTGGGCTATCTTGCCAACCCCAATCGTTGTCACTGGCATTCGATTGATTTCCCATGCCTGATGCAATATTTCCACTTACAGAGTGTGAACGTTGATAAGAATTTTCTTGATTAAAATCGCCATAACCACCACCGCCTTGTTCTCCAGGTGATGTAAAATTACTGCCAGCTAAATTATTCCATCCACGTTTACCAATGTCAGTTACCTACATCAAAAATAAAGCCAAATACAATTATAATTAAGCTGAAGGCTTACAAAATATTTAATAATGAACTCATTCTAATTAGCAATAATAATTTTTTAATAAAGTAAGAGTGAATGTGTATGTACAATTAAAATTTATTTACAAATAAATACCCACCTTTGTTGCCACTTCAGTGACTGAATGTTGTAAGGTTTCTATTAAACCACCTTCATTTATCTACGATTATAAAAATTAAAAAAAAAATAATACTAATATAAATAAAAATCGCCAAAAATAAAATAAAAAACCATCATAAATTGAAATAAGCGTTAAATAAGTTTATTTTAATTAAATATAAAGTATGGGGACTATTTGTGCACTACCAAATTAGTTGTATGGACCCAAACTAAGGACAAATATAAAGTAATAAACAAAAAATAACTCAAACAATTGTACTTCAAGGTCATTTTAAATAGAGAATAAAGCAAGTTTGAATATCTACATATATATATGTATGTATGTATGTAGAATCTATAGCCAACAACCATTGAAATAAAGATACAAATATTTACGTTGTGTACAATTTTAAATAATTAAACAAACCTTTGATGAAGCTATATTAGCTGTATTAACAGCTTTTTCTTTTGCAATAACAGCAAACTTCGAAGCTCCGGCTGAGAGTAAACTCCATCCCTGTAATTAAAAATAAAACGTAAATACATACTCGATTTTTGTTTAGTCAATTTATACTTACCGAGGCTAGAGACGATAAAGTGGTATCAATAAGTTCTTGAGATTGAGTTTTTGGCGGTGGATCGCGAGAATAACCGAAGCCACTATATTTACCTCCTTGGCTAGGCGGTAAATGACTATAAAATATAAACAATTAAAATCTATAAATTTTCATTAATTTCTATAAAATTTGTTGCCACTTACTCAGGTCTTGAGGCATTTTCAGATTGAATGCGTGAGAAGAATTCCTCTTTTTGATCTTTGAACTCTTGCGTTTGGAATTGTTGATAACCAAGGTCATTATTAGAACCACTGCCACCATTTTGGTAGCCACCGCCAGAACTCTGCTGGTAGTTTCCACTGTTCCTGGAATGTGCCATTGATGAGTTGTTGGTAGACGTAGCATAACTACCACTTGAACTACCATATGATGTTGTTGATGCCGACGAACCTAAGCGCTTCTTTGCTTCAGTTATATCCCATGGTTTGCCCTGGGCTAAAGTGGATATCTTGTCGCGATATAAAGCAGCAGCTTTTGAGTTGTACTTTTGAGTGATGGGAGCACGATCGTTCCAATCATCTTGGTCTTCAAAAAACTCACGGGCATTACGGTTACCACCCACTTTCATTTTTTCCAATTCAATGTCTTTCCACTTGTCCATTGTTACGGAACGTACGAATGAGAGATGGACACCCAGGCCTCTATGTTTGCCCGAACATTCCAAGCAAATCCATATGCCATATGTTACAGAAACCCATTGTGGATTATGGGTGCCACATTCAAAACATTTCTAGGAAAACAGATGGAAAATAAAATTTCAATAAGAGAAGGATGCAAATGACCTTTGTCTCCTGAACACTTAAATTGGTAAATAATCGTTTAGGTATGTATTAATTTATTTTACAATTCATACCGAATTTTCATCTTGTGGCTTAAGCTCTTGCAGTACACGCCTTGTCCTTGGACTGGCCATTTCCGGTTTTTATTAGCAGCAAAGAAAATGTTCGTCGTGTTATGAAATTTCGTTAAAACTCCGAGTGCTGCTGCAACTGGCTGGCTTCCAATTCAGCAAAATATTTCGTCACAACGTATTTGATGAAAACCACAAAGCCAACAACACCAAATATAGTAATACCTAAAACTTGAGCTTGATATCTCCTGGAAACAGTTTCACAATCACCACTTGATGATGTTGTAGCAGCGCCAGCAGCAGAAGTTGTAATGTTAGCGACAGCAGATGATGCAGCAGCAGTAGTTCTTGATTTAGAAGATGGCTTCATTAAAATTCACTAAATAAAACACCTCAAATGAAGGTATTTTTAAATAATATCAAATAAATTATAAACGTTTTTAAAATGGTAATTGTTAAAATCTGTAAAACATAATATTTGCACTTGAAAATGTTGCAAAAATTGAAAATTCTCTACTTTTTCACAAAACCACTACACTGACTGCTTACAACAAAAAAAACTCCAATTGTCAGAGAGAGTACAAAAACTGTTGACGTGTGAAAGAGAATGTCAGTAACAATACAACACTGTTGTTTTCTTTGAAATTTCATTCACAATTAAATCAAGGCGAATTCATGTAAGGTGGTGTTCAAGATATGTTAATTATGTTCTTTATTAATTTTCTTTAATTTATTTTTTCAAAAAATTTTATTTCAAACAAAACAGTTGTTTTGCTTTTGTTTATCATACGAAAATAGAGCACGCTCTAATCGAAAAAAATTACATATCGTCACCTGAAACGCAAACGACCCTAATTAACCAAAAATTCAAAATCGATTTAAAAATGTTAGATAGGGTCGTTTGCGTTTTAGATGACGATATGTGTTTCCACATGTATTTTACACATGCAATGTTTTATATGAATCAGATGATATGTACAACTTTTACAAATGGAAATTTTGACAGTACATATGTAAAATACATGTCGTCTAATAGCACCTTTACTGATTTTGACATCTACGTGAATCAAATGCAAAAACAAAATACATGTATAATTTTGTTGTTGCAGAACTGCCACCTCCTTATATGAATTCGCATTGTTACAGACTTTTTCAGACGTTAATTTCTTTAATCTTTTGAAGTTTCTTAAAAATGACAGAACGCTTCGGTTTAATATTGATAACAGGCCCACCAGGAGTTGGAAAGACAACTTTAGTTCGTAAAATTTGCGAGGATCTCGGCAATAAACATAAAATCGTGTGTAATGGTTTCTATACAGAAGAAGTGCGAAATCCAAACAGCAGGGAACGCATTGGATTTGATGTCGTTACATTTAATGAAAAGAGGGGCCCACTAGCCAGGTAGAAAGTATTGTGGTTTTCTTCATTTATACTTACGAATTTATTGTTTTCTAGGTCTGACCATGCGAATAAGATAGGACCGTTTGTCGGCAAATACCAAGTATATGTTAAAGATTTTGAAGAACTAGCTTTGCCATTACTATATACAAGTACTGGAAGAGATTTGCTAGTCATTGATGAGGTGGGAAAAATGGAGTTAAAAAGTAAAAAGTTTGAAATGGCTGTACAAAACTGTATAATGAAGACATTTTTGTTGGCAACAGTTCCATATGAATTAAGACAACCTATACCTCTGATAGACAAACTAAAAAATCACCCAAAAGCGGAAATCTTTGTTGTTACAAAGGGGAATAGAAATTGTTTACAGGACGAAATTGTAAATAAAATTTTTAAATTAATAAATAAATAACAGCATAAAAAATAGAATAATCTCTGCGGCACTCTTCGTGTAAATTTAATTGTTAAAAAACATTCTAACCTTTAATTTTTTCCATAAAATACAATTACCGACGGAACTGGTTTTGAAAACGACAAAAGTAATACATTGGTCGCATGAAGTATTCTTCAAGTTTTTTTTATAATTTTTTATATTTTATTCTTTTTAAAATCTATAGTATGTAGTAAAAATACAAAAAACAATGTTAATTTACATGGCTGTAGTGGTTGAACTTGTAGTTGGATCCGAATTAATTAAAGTCGTGCTGGAGTATGTTTTTGAATCTCGCTGAGATCTTTTTCTCGCCCTTTTTGGAGATTTTTCATAATCCATTTCATTATATGTCTGTTCAGTGGCCCGCCACACCATTTCTTGTCTTTGTACTAGATCGGGATAACGTTGTTCAAACTGCGTGTCAGGTGACAAAAGTAGTTCCCACTTTTTATCCGTATTTAATTTCGCAACAGACTGTAAAACTTCCGAAGCCTCTTCAGGCGGTAGCTGGGTGGCAAAAATTACCTGACGACGATAAAGACTATTAGTGCGGGAAAAGCGAAACAGCTGAAAGAATATAAAAATTACTTTATTACATATTTACTAAAGGTCCCAATAAAACTTACGACGTAATCTCGAGCTCTTATCATAAGTTCAGATTTAACACCATTTGCATTGGATAGTGTTTCATTTGGGTAAAGAATTTCAGACTGTGGTACCCAGTTGCCATGTATTAAAATGCCAACCTGCGGCAAAGTTCTTAATACCCGTTCCGCTGTAATTTTTGGGTCTATACTTTCTTGTAAAATGTCCATTATATCATCGAATGAAAGCATTTTGGCATCTTTGAGAATAACTTTGAGCTGTTCCATTAAATTCATCGATTTTAGTTTCGCCTTACTAATGACTCTAGCTGGCAAAACAGCATCTATGCCTTGATCTTGGCCCTCTGCTGGTAAAAGTTTTTCAACATATTTTGGAGTGTCCAAAGCTAAGGCGTGACTTCCTTGCCTATTAGTGGCAAATAATTTTTGACGTTCCAACTCTGCCGTTGGAGATGTACGTGAATGCCAATATGTCTCACACCAAGGCTCATCGACACTCTTCTTCACAAAGGTATCGTATCCTTGACGCTCCTTAACTTTTTTCCCACCTGTTCGCGCAAATTTAACTGTGACCTGTTGCAGTTCTTCATCGTCATCCTCTTCGTTAAGAGCCTTTTGTTCGGCTTTGTTGCGTTTGTCTTCCTTGTCGAAATAGGAAAACGAGGGTCTCAACTGTAGAATAGAAGTCAGCGGAGAGAGGTGAATCTCTTTATCCGTATATATGCCCACAATATATTTGCTGACATCGTCCAATGATGTGGAACTTACAAATGCTTGTTTGTCCATAATACCTCTTTTGAAAGTCGGCCTTTCTCCCTTCGCTTGTGATTTACCATCGGCAGCCAATGCCAGTTGTTCACCTTTGAAACGGTCATAGAATGGGGATTCCGTGTCTAAAGCAAAGTCAACTTTGACTTCATGATTTAAAGGTTTTACACAGCAGTTTACAACTGCAGCGCTCTCAAAATTCGACACTTGTGTTTTTGTGGGATATTGAAACAGATACAAATTTTCTTGAAGATTTTTTGACAGAAACACCGGTATCTAAGTATACACATGAAATTAATAATTTCGCGTTATTTTAACAATATTTACAACATACCTCTTCTAAAACTTCATCTTCTTCATTTTCAAATTCCATTGCATACAATTATTTTAAAAAATTTTAAATAATTGCAAAAAAAAAAAAATACAGATCTGGATCTAAAATATTACAAATATTAGAAATCTGTCAACAGCATGTGTTTTTGTAATAGCAATTCACAGTAATACTTGATATTTTTAACATTCACAGTAATATTTCTTTACATTTAGCAACACTGAAACTGCTTTTGTAACGTTTTTTTTTAATAATATTTAAAGCTGATATTCACTAACTTTTTTTAATAAAAAATAGAAATAAAAATAAATCTTAGATATTTTATTTTGTTTATTTTGCAATTTACACCTTGAACTAGTTTAAGCTGGCTGATTTACGCCGAAAATATAGGTTGAGGTGCGTTTTAGATTGTTTATTTTTTAATTTATCAACACTTAAAGTTTATACATACTACACATAAATGCAACCTTGTTGTTAAATTATTCCTTCGCTGTCAACGGTATTGTTAATTTATTTTAATCAATATTTTAAATGTTAAAAGTCGCTGGAATACGTTAATGGATTATATTCGAAAATCGATTTTTTTATAAATTTTTAAATCTATGTATAAAAACTTATAATCAATGATCAGCTGGGCTAATGATATTATCTCGTAGTCTGTATAAACTGGTAACTTTCTTGTTTCGATATCAAATCCAAATTTAGTACTTTTGACTTTGATTTTACTATCGACATTTCCTTTCGATATGAAAGTCCATTCGAATGCTATTTTTTATACTTTTCGAATTTTCTATATTTCTATTTTTCTATATATATATTGCATTTACAATAATAATATTTATTTTATTCCACACTGCTAGTTTCATTTCATACATCCGTTGTCTAATACCTACGGTTATTTCATTGCGTGGTTATTTTATTGTAGGGTTTCGGAAATATGTATATTATTTTATTCCTTTCAAACGATAACAATTTAAAAAAGTTTAGTTTTAATCAAAAATTAAAACTAAACTTTTTTAAAGTTTTCTTATTTTATTTATATTTCACATAAAGGACTGATAATTAATTTTGATATCATGTGAAAGATCTTTAAGAGGCGCTTTTAATTTCATAAAGTTGAAAAAAAAAAACAAATTAAAATGTTATTTAGATTACTAAAATTTTTATTATATAGATTACACTATACGGCAAAAATAAATACCTGGGAAAATATAGGACGATCCTCATAAAACTTGGTGAAAGGATTTGTTTTTAATTTTGAAGAATTAATAAAATTAAAAAAAATACTTTTTAACATTTTTTTATTTTTTTCCATCCCTGCATAATTTCTCACTCAACTTTTATGCTTGCGCTCCGTTTTGTTGTTATAAACAATATATGTATTAAATACATTTGGAAGCAATTACATTGTATTTGCTTCCAAACTCCCACATTTTTATTTCTCGGATTCCGTTTTTATTAAAAATCGTTGAAAATTTAAAAATTAAACGTATTTTACAACTTAGTCGGCTTACAGTCGATTTTAAGCCGCCGCCGATATTTTTAGCGTCAGCCGCCGACGCTAATATTTGTCGGCGCAGTGCTCAAATTTTTCTTTCATCTTTTTGTGCAAAAATCGGACTGAAAAAGAAAGTGTATAAAAATTGTGTTTAATAGAAATTTTTACTTCATTTATAAAAGTAAAAAAACTTTTAACAAGAACACATTTTACGATAGAAAAAATACGAATAAATAGTGACAAAAATTAAAGAAGAAAAATTATTTTTTTAATATAATTTTTTTCTGTGAGAAAAGCAAGGCCAAACAAATAAATTTGCCAAATTGGCAAAAAGAAAAAAAAAATCGGAATATAAGCAAGAAATTGTGTATTTTCAATTTAAAAAAGTATTAATAGAGTTAAATGCATTATAATACACAATCTTTGGAAAGCGTAAAATAGATTCTTGGGAGTGTTTAATACATTGAATTAAAAAAATTAAAAAGAAAAGGTAAAGAAATTTACAGAAAATTCGTTCGTCTATTATAGGTATGTGGATGGATACAGAGTTTCTATAATTGAATGTGATAAAATAATGGCGAGCGAGGTGAGGATGGTGATAGTGATGAGGTGGTAGTATCAAGTATCATATTAATTTGAAAGAAAATTCTCCATTTATGATAACTGTGATGACGAGTCTTGTTATCTAGGAGGGAAGTGAAGAGGTTCAAAATTTTTATAGTAGTAGATTTATCATAAAAATACATGCCTACATAGGTATGTAGTTATATGGATAAATTTAATTTGTTAGTTGGTTGTTACGCTGGCTGACCTATAATTCAGTTCCCCTGACATTGCCACAATACATCACGTACATACATATGTACAAAGAATAATCATATGTACATAATATAGTACGTACATATATATGTATTACATATTTTTTCTCTTTGATTATAGACTTTTCCATTTGTTTTAATATAGTCATCAGCTGGTTTTGGTTGTTTTATGTGCCACTTCTTTACTCAATGCGCTTCTAACCAACCGGACAGTATTTGTTGTGTTTTTGCTTAAAATTTCAGCAAAAATTTGCCCATTTCCTCCTCTACATTCTAGTTCACATTTCTTTTTGTTGTTTTCAAGGTTTTGCGGAAGCGCGTGTGCAGCCTTCATGTGGAAAATCAATTATTTAAAATTTTTGCCTTTATTTGTTTGCAGTTTGGTTTCGTCACTGATTATAGTCTTCTTTGGTATTCCAAAGATGTGTGATGTCATTGTTTTACCTTTTGTCCTACTTATAGATTTTGCACATTTATTTAATATATGACACGAATGGTTTGAAGCAATAAAAATAAAGGTTTGACAATACAGTTTCACCTGGAATGTCAACAAAGAAGTGTAACCGCTTAGTTTAAAGAGTTCTTCGAGGAATTTAAGGACTTTTTTAAGTAGATTTTATAAGAAATGAACATATCTATGTTCAAAGTACAAAGATAGGTTTAGAATTATTTAAATCGAAGTTCGCATGTTGCAATTTTGAACAAAATTCATAGTTGTTTCGAAATACCGCTTTAGGATGTAAGAACATTAAGGACTTTTTTAAGTAGATTTTATAAGAAATGAACATATCTATGTTCAAAGTACAAAGATAGGTTTAGAATTATTTAAATCGAAGTTCGCATGTGGCAATTTTGAACAAAATTCATAGTTGTTTCGAAATACCGCTTTAGGATGTATGAACATTAGAGGTGCCTAATAAATATGAATTTTTCTAGGTTAGTGTAATTTTGCTCATTAGTGTCTAAAATTAACTGCTGTAAAATTTTGGACAAATCGGATAACAGGAGCCCTTGCCGAAATTCGATTGAAATATGTAAAATTGGGTAAATAATAGGACTTTTTTAATTTCTTAAAAAATTTAAGATTTCGATCAAATCTTACCTTCTAAAGAAGATCATCCTTTCAACAAGGTATAAAATAATATCGAGCAACAAATAATAAAGTTATAGACATTTTCTTTTCACAAATATGTAGCAAAAACGACGACGTTTCTTAAATAAATCAAAAAAGTCCTATTACTTACTAAAATTTACATTTTCGATTTCTCGCAAGGATACCCGTTATCCAATTGTACTAAAATTTTACACCAGATAGGTTTAGACATTTCTAATGTACATACATATGTATGTATTTTACTGGGTCTTAGAGTCATATCATATCATGTAGGGAAAATCCTTCTATAATGTTAAAAACCATACAGGGTGATTCAATAGCTGTTATATATTTTTAATGCTATGGTATTGTGATATTGATTGATGTTTTCTATTTGAAATATTGAATATCATTCATGATTCATTAAGTATGTACACTAAGTTGGTTATCGTTTTATTAGCCGTCTTGGTGTTATATATTGGCCTCATTGCTTTGTTCCTTTAACCTTATGTAATAAGTTTGTATTATTGCGGTCTTCTAGGAATCCACAAGTTTATATTGCTAGAATTTTCAGACTTAGTTTTGAATGGTCATATGTGGTGCTCGTTGTTGGAAATGTTTGCTTCATGACCTACCTCTTTTTTCAATGCTGTTTTTTTTATTATAAACGAGTATTTTTGCTTTGTTTAATATAACAACCTACTTGTAGTCGTAATATAGGGCTAAGGTTCACCCCCTTGTTATCGTTATTTGATTTGTACTACTGCTGATTGAGACCGACTTACTTTTTTAATCCAATCCATATGTGATTTACATTTAGATACTTTTAATTATTTAAGTTCATTTGTGAAATCTAGTTTTTTATTACTATGTAATAGATACTAATATTTGCGCTTTAAATGCTTCTATAGTGAATAAATAAAATGAAAATTTTTTTATTGAAGCTGACTTCTTGGTGGCCTTTAGAGTTACCAGCTAAACGAATAACCCAGAAGCTACCCATATTTTTTTAGGGTTAGTATCGTCCAAACAATTCGTAATTAGTACCCGACACAATAATGTCTGGGTCAGCGAGAATGACCCAAAAATACACATACATAAGTAGGAAATTTATATTTAAAAAGTAAAATTTGGATTCTTACTCATATCTCACACAGATTTCTTGTAAATGCGAAAAAGAAATTTTACCAAATTAACCTTTTTAAATTGAAATTGAAGAGCAAATAAGATTCGCTATAGCCGTATTAAGCACTTGTTACTTGTTTTGTTTAATTTTATGCGTTCTTTTATAATATCTTTTGGACTTTGCTTCATATATTGCTTTTGATTTAACATATTTTTTTCTTTAGGAGAATCTCTAAAATTATTATGAGATTTCGAGTAAATCATTATTCATTTGTTTTTTATTTTGCTATTTTCTTTTTGAATTTTTGTCGTCGAATTAATGCTGTATTAGCATTTCATTTATTTTCAAACTATGACGAAAACGACTCATAGATATGTAGATATTGTTGAGTGTATGTGTTTATATTCCCCAAAAATAGCTCAGTTTTCATGCAGTATATTTAAACTGCGAATAATAAAGAGCAAAAGTTAAACAAATTCTTTTAAAAATTTTTAAAATAACAATAGAGATATTTTTCCGGAATGTTTAAAAGTGAATAATGTATTTTTATATATACATATGTATGTTAATATACATATATTCTTTACATATTATTTGTATTATTTTAAACAAAAATTCTAAATAAAATAATATAAACAATTTTTTATATATATTTTTTTAGGTTTTGCATCTTTAAACGCTTTTTTACATTTAACATCGGGTCTTCGAATCAAAAAGTATTAAATATAAACAACAAGTTGCTAGTTTATTAAAGAAAAGGGAGAAAAACTATACAAGAATCCAATTGAAAAATAGAAAAGAAACGGAAAAAGGCGCGGAGTAATAAATTAGTTAAATTCTCATTTGTTTGCAAAATAAATATTAAATTAAATGGAACTAGATTGCAAATAAAATGAGTCCATAAGTTTTCATTTGAATTTGAGAAAGCAATATAAAAAACCGAGGAGAGAAAGATACAAACTAGAGGCAGACATAGAGAGTGGGAGCGTTAAATTAAAAAAGAGTATTTAATAAATTAATAAAAAAACACACCAAAGAATTACTACATACACAAACATATAAAGTAATTTTTATTATTTTACCTTAATTCATTTTTGACAAGTACTTTCATACAAACATTAAGAAGATACATTAAAAAGAAGAATAATTAGTAGAAGTAAATAAATAAAAAAAATAATTTTGAGAATGGTCAATACGCAAGAGCACAGTAACAATAACAAGAGTGCAAATGTTAATGAAATTGAACAGTTGAAGGATTCGTCCACGAATTCCACGACAACACCATCAACTACAGCAGCAAGAAGCAGCATTCATAATAGTGTAGGTTCTTCGTCGTCCACCAATTCCGACTCATCTACAACATCATCAACATTAAACTCATCTTCACCATCATCCGCAACAACACCTGTAAAGCCTTTGTCGTCTACAACAAATTTTGCTAAAAATGCTTCAGCACAAGCCGCTACAGCTGGTTCACAAACTCATCACAAATTGATACCCATACAAAGTGTACTACACACAGCTGATCACCAGCATTACAATCAACAACATCATCACACGCATCACAATTCGTCTCTTAATCATTCATCTGTAAACCTGCAGTTGCAGCAGAGTGGTGCAACTTCTCATCTTAATGCTCTTAACACCTCTACATTACAACAGTTTCTTAGCGGTGGTGCCAATACTAACGTCAACACTGCAGCGGCCACTCATGCCCAGTTGCCATCCGAGTTGCCACATGAGGATGAGGAACGCTTGGAAAATCTCTTCAATCAACTTGATCGGGACGGTAATGGTCGCATCGATATACACGATCTCTCAGAAGCCTTGCGAGAATTTGGTCTGTCGAGCGTTTATGCCGAGGTAAGTACTAAACATTAAATAATATTAAAATGTGCATAACAATATGCACGTTTTAAGAAACACAACAATCAAAACGGAATAGACGAACAATTCTGCCACCACACCTGTTAAATAAACATCGACATTTTTTTGTCAAGTCTGTCCGTCCGTTTGTCTGTCGTCTAAGATTTGTGTAACAAATATTTCTATTTGTTGTGGTTTTTGAAAAATTTTACAGACATTACCAGACGTACAAATGACTTAATCACAAGTACACGTCATTTTAAACGCTCCGTGTTTTTGTTTTATTGTATACAATTTATTTGCCAAGTAGCACAACTGTAAATAACAGAGGACATTGTGTAAATATGTCGTTACATGAAAATTTGGATTCATTTCAACAAAATAATAGAATAAATTAAAAATATTTTTGTATGCATTTACAATAATCTCTTATATCTGCTTGAACAATTTTCGTACAAAATACTTGTCAAAATTTAAGATTTTTCTTTTTATAAGATTGGCAAAACCTGATGACCTGATTCAGATACATATAAATTTCGTTTGTTTTGTGATCTAACTCAAAGGACCCAATGTATTTGTTTTTTATAGAAATTTTTGGAACACTCTGACCAAACACAAAGTGGAGATGTGGGACTCGCTGAATTTGTTCATTATGTGCGAGAACATGAGAAAAATTTACGTTTGCAATTTTCTCACTTGGACAAAAATCGAGATGGTATGTATAAGTAGTATTTAGGAATATTTTTAATTATCTTTTTTAAAAACGTATGAATTAAAATATATTTTTAGGCAAAGTCGATTTGGAAGAGTTGATAACAGCATTTAAGGAATTAGGTATTGAAGTTGACATGGAAGAAGCTAAGATATTATTATCAAGGTTTATATCATAAAAATTAATAACTTTGAATCTTATTAATATTCTTTTTCTTCATTCAGAATGGATCAAGATGGCAGTTTAAATATTAGTTTTAATGAATGGCGTGATTTTCTGTTATTGGCACCTTCATCGGATATACACGACTTAATTAAGTTTTGGCGGCATTCTACTGTAAGTACATTTTTTATTTATATATACCTTATATAATGTTTTATTTCAATCCATGTTATGAGTTTTTTATAAGCTTAGAGTGTATTTACTTCAAGTTTTTTTTTTATTTGTAAATATCAATATTTTCTTTAAATATTTTTTTCGTATAAAAAAATTAATACAGTATTTTGCTAAAAACTACTCATGATTAAGTCAGGAAAGTTTTTTAAAGGTATTCATTAAACAATTTAACCAAATATAACTAATTTAATGTTAAATTTTGTGTATAATGTTGAATGACAGCTTTATTAATTCAAATATTTTCATTTCAACACATATGTATTAGTTTTTTATGGTACTTTTTTATATGTAGTGTATAGACTGTTGTATATCGTGGAACCATATTCATTTTATGAACTTTGTTTTGTTTTATTTTAATGCATTTTTATGGTTTATTAAGTTTATTGACATTCTGTTTTTTGTTTTTTTTTTTGTTATTTGCGATGGTGTCTATTAATGATTCCTAAAACACTAATATTTTTTCATGTTTATAATTTGAACTTTTGACTTCAGTCTGTTGATGTATATCACATAGTTTGGTTCTTGTTTATATTAAACGCAGTTTGTAAAAAAGAAAAAAAATTGTATAAAAAATACAATGGTTTTACTAGACACAATAGTTGGCGTTCAAGAAATGGTAAAATAAAATTTCTTCGAAGAATTATTTTAAATGTTTTTAAAGTGTGTAGTATATTTTTAGGATTCACAGTTAAAAAAAAACTAATTATGTACTAAAAAATAAATAAACACAACAAATGTTTCAAAGAATCGAATCTTATAAAATCAAATAAGTAATGCTACTTAAAAAATATAATTTTTTTTTTTTATAAAAAATCATTTATGTTGAATTTTACCTTAATATCGATGGAAAACTTATTTTCTAAAAGGACTTTATATGGGAGTTTGGGTTAAATATGGGTCGATCCTCATGGAATTTGAAGGAGGGATTTGTTTTTATACATTTAATATAATAGTTAGTTATGCAGATTTTCACCGCACTACCAATGGTTATAAGTAAAGTATTGACGTTTAATTTATTATTAAAGCGGAGCAGTATTATTTAAGCTTATACATACATTAGTTATGCTGCTATCTGATCGAACAGTCCGGTTTTAATTATTTTAAATGCACACGTCTGTTCCAAATTTACTCAAAATACCTTAAAATTGCAACCTGTATTTTGGACATAAGGCTTACTTGGCCATGTACATGCTTTAGTCGACTCAGAAAGTGGTTCTAATGGGTGTAGGAACAAAACTTATAATATCCTCCCTGCTATAGTGGTATAGAGTATAAAAATTAGACTTTTAATGAAATATTTCTATATGATTTTTATACCCATTACTATAATTGATTTTGTCGTTCCGTTTATAACACATCAAAATATTGGTCGCAGATCCGCAAAAGAATATGCATTCAGAATCCTTATTAGATTTTGGTATTCAGGCTGTAAAAGACGCACACTTGAGTACTGTTGCTCCCTTTGTGATACCTGAAAGAGTAGGTATGAGAGTATGTAAAAATAGAGGTATAGGAAGTAAAAAACCGATTGCTGTGCCTGATGAAGGCATTAATATTTTCCAATCTTAGATTTAATAATTCTGACAAGTCATCAAATATTCGCTTTCTTAGAACGACATAGTTGTAGGAGGTATGACGTGCGTTTACCATCCAAACTTGGCCATATCGTCTGGCTCATTGCAACAACTTGTCTGGAAGACACGAAAGTTCCTAAAAGAGATGACTGAAAATTTTTACAAATATTCTCCATTGTTCGGTACTGTTTGATATTGAAAATGCACAATCTTGGTCCACGATTTTACATAGCTTCTTACACACTTCATGAGTATCGGTATTATAAACTTTGTACTTTGTACACCAAGATTGGAAAAAATGTATAATTACTTTGATTCTTAAATAAATACAACCAAGAACACTTATTGTCAGTATATTGTTTTGACCCATATGCCAAAGTCTTCTCAGAACATACTTGGTATATTTTAAACGATTGGTCCACAAAAATGTCAAAATGTCCCAAAATATCGTGATTATTTCATAAACTATACAAAATATTAAGAAACGGGTTTTGGAATCGGTATGAGAAACTCAAAAATATTTATTTCTATTTTTTGAAATAGAAACCACTTTTCTAAAAGTTAAATTGTGGTGTTTGAAAAATTGTTTTTTTTTTTCAATTTCTTTATTCCAATAACCTTGTTTATACAGGCCATAATCCAAAATAAAATTATCACAGTGGGTTAACATGATTTGTAGTTTTTCCATTATTGTACATTTGTTTATTAAAATATAGCATATTATAGACGTTGAAACGTATGTTGAAGTTTGAACTTTTTTATTATCTCATGACTCAAAAAGGAAATAGATAAAACAATATTTAGAAATGAGATAAAGCGATTATTTTAAAAAGAAATTAATAGAAATAACTGTATAAATAAAATATTAACACTTCCCTTTTATGTTTTTAATAACTGAAATATTAACCTGCAATTGAAATATTTTAGTTGGTGAATGAAAAACTTGTTCATTCATTATCATAAATGCGTATTTTATTTTGTCATATGAAATTGTATGTTTTTTTCCTATTTTCTTGAACTTTAGAACTAATCATTTTGCCATGAAATACTTAGTTTTTTTCTTTCTGCAGTTATAAATATTGACACTTGTTTGTGAGTAGGTGGTATTTTGTTTACGTTTTCCTAATATCTTGCTCTCATTTTAGTTCATTTCATCATATTGTTGATCATGTGCTTTTGATTTACTGTTACAAAATAAAATAAAAAATAACGTACATACATATATTCAAATAAAAAATATTCCATTATTATTTGTATTAAAATAAATGACGACAAAATGTCAAAAATATACACTCCCAATGACCTTGATAAAGAAATTTTATGGGGTGTGTGTGCTAATACATATTTATAAAACAACAAATGTGTTGTTTTCACATTCTAGCTGCTTACGGAGAGAATATTCTAAAAAAATTGCAATTATTTGAAATAAACACTGCTATAAATGTTGAATTAGGCAGATTAAACTAGATTAGAAATTATCTGTTGTAGCTTTCAATAACACATATACATATGTAGTATGTATAGATGTGCATATTGTCTAAAAAGCACAATTCCAGCTTAAGAACTTTAGGTTTTAAATTTAGATCATTTTTGGTCACAGAAATCATTATTGTAATGCCTTTTTCATGTGAATTATTTTTTATCTTGTTTCCTGCATATCTACTCACGTTCTGTCACTCTTTTGTTTGCTTAAATTATGATAAAACTATTTTTAAATATTGTTCAACGTCTGTACCCATAAAATGTGTTTTATATTTACCTATAAAATTCCATATTTTCATATTTATTTAATTGAGTTTTGCTGTTTGTCATGACAAGTAAACAGTTTAATTAAATATTTTTTTTATAAAGAGACCCAGACTAAAAAAGACAAACAAACCGAAATTGTTTGCCTTTATACATACACACGTGTGTACATAATTTTTATTTTAATGCAATATTTATTTTACTCTGTAGATTAAAAAAAGTACATAAAAATAAAAAAAGCTTTTTCTAAGTTCAATTCACATCGTATTTGACCAATCACACAACTTAAAATATAAAACGAGCCCCCTTTTATCAATATGTAAACGTGTGAGTAAATTGTTTTTTATAATGATGGTGTGTGTTTAAATTTTCTTAGTAGAGGTAATTTTATTTGAAAGGCGCGTGTAGTCATTATGAGTGACTGTTTGTGAAAAAAAATTATACTGTTGTTAACTTGAGGTTTTTACGTAGTGTTGTTTTTTTTTCATAAGAAAAGCAAAAATATACTACTGATCTATAGCCAAACTAACTTATACTTTGTTTCTTTTAATGTCTTAAGGTCGTCTACATTTCTCTTAGCGTAAATACATACTTGTTGCTGTATTTTGTACAGGATGACGTTTTATTATACTCACTTCGGTCATTTATAGAGTACTTCGAAAAGAGTTGGGCTATTTTAGAGTTATTACAGAGTTATGTCGAGTCGATACTCATTCTATGGAACGGTTTTGGAGCCAGTTCTTTCATCACTAATTTTTGTTCTAGAACAATTTTTGTGTTAGAACAGTTCAGGAACTAGTTCTTATTTCAGCGATTTTTGTTTGAAATTTTGAAAAACTGGTGTACTACCAATGTAAAACTACTGCCGTGGAATTGGTTCCTGAAAAACTTCTTAGAAGTACTTTAGAATCACGACAATGTTCGAGAGAATGAGATCTAGAAGTATTGGTCATTAGTTGCATGAATGCTGACCAAGAATCTGAAGTGGTTATTTTTTCACTTGTTCTAAAACTAGTTTTTTTTTTAACAAATTCTATATACATATATTCTTTACTCTTTTTTTTTATGTGAAAGTCTTATGTCTTAGCAACAAAAACATGATTTCTTACGTCAATATTCCTATTACGTGTTTTGGTAACTAATTAAATCAAAACTTAATTACTAATAAACGTAAGAGACTACATTAAAAAAATGCTAATTTGTACTACTCGTTTTTCTTTTCTTTTTTATACTTATTGATTTTAAATATTCCTAATATGTTTATGCGATTCGGAATGAAAACAGTTCTGATATATAAGAATACTGATAGTCCAAGGGAACCATAAATTAGCATCTACATTTTAGTGCCAATCTATTGATTTTTTAAATGGCGTGTGTTGCGATTTTTATTTAACAATTGACAATATGCAATATTGACATACATATACAAAAACTAACAATCATTACATGAACTGACTGGTATTATCAATTGCCGTAATAATACATGTTAGCAATTTTGTCTAATTAAATAAAAAAAAAATAAAAGGAAAACAAAACAAGCGATTGATTATGAAATTTGTTAGAAATTTAAGAGGGAATGCGATAGCTGTCGAATGATATTTGTGATATAATTTAAGTGAT